CATCCTGTCGGAAGTCTTTAGGAACGGTTTTGGCTACCTTTGCTGCAGTGGGTGAAAATACTTTAGTTATTTTTGATTTCAACATCATTATTTTCAGTTTTCCGGTCGATAGGAGTAATTACTGCTTATTTCATGAATCAGTAAGAGTCTGTAGGCAGTTCCTTTGCCTTTAGACACCCCATGTATCTTGTGCTTATCGAGAAACGAATTTTTTCTGCATTTTTAGGGTCAGATTTTCCTGTGTAACAGAAAGGGCAAAACTGCAGCTGAGAAAGTGACGAGTGTGTTTCCAGGACATGCTGGTCCAGTCCTAGCCATCCAACGAAATCCCTTCTATCCAAAGAACTTCCTCAGCGCAGGTGGTTGGGACGTCCGCATTTGGTCCGAGGAAATGCGTGATGAGCCAATCATGTGGACGCCCTATCAAAATTCTGCTATTACTGATGCCGCCTGGAGCCCCGTGCGGCCTGGTGTCTTCTTTAGCACGTTCAAGAGCGGCGAATTGCAAATATGGGACTTGACATTTAAACAAAAGGCACCAACTCTATCCATAAATGTAAGCAAAATTGTTTTGATAACCATCGTCGTGTATAGTGTATGTTAATTCGTAGACAGGAGTTAGTACTGATTATAGAAGCAGGTAGATCTTAACCGATATTATTATATATCTTTCCGACAAAGAAGGCATTTTTCTATGGTTCTTCTACTGGTTGAGGCATTTTCGTTATAAAAAAACGTGCTAGGCGCACGTTGATTTGCGTTTTTCAACCCTTCAAGATAATTTCCAAACTTATTACAGAGAGGAATTTAAATATATGACGTAACTTTGTGCAGAAATCTTTAAATTTCCTGTGAAGGTAAAGCATAATTTGGAAAAGAATGGGGGGTTTGCTGGGTTGTACTGTTTACCGGTTTGTAACTTTTGGAATGTTTCATGTCTGCACATTGCTAGGAACCTTAACAGTATTTACTTTATGAATGTACTTGAAGGAATAATTTCAACCCAACGGATTTTTAGAACACGCCATTTATGTCTAGTCAACAAACCCGTATCATCTAAAGTTATACTGCATTAAATAAGCGATTTGTCTCCAAAATAAGGCATATTTTGGTTTAAAAGGTGTTACTTCTTGAATAAGAAATAATTAATTATGCCAAGTTACCAACTCAGAAAAACGACTTTATGACAGGTCAAGTAGTTGAGGTCTAGTATAACCGGTAGCAATAGAGAAAAATCTATAATACTTCGAGAAAACAACGAAAGCAATAAAAATGCAACGTATCAGTACGGTTTTAACTGTTTTTTTTTCCTGTTAAGACTACGGTAAGGCTGATGGACATAGAGAATAACTGAGCTTTGGCTGCATTTAAAGGCGTTTTCTTGCTTCTTTCCAGTTTTTTTTGAATAACACAAGGGGACTCTCGATTAGATTGAACTCAAGACTGCTGGCATGAATAAATATACTTCGCAGACCGCAGATGGAGGGGCTGGCTGTGGTCAAGAAAGTGAATTATAGTCCTGCGCTAAATTAGAATCATACCTCCTTTGCTCAGGGGTGTTATTATGTAACAGTAAGATGTCTATTCGACCTCGGTTAATGTCGTTATAAGCGAAGACAGTGCTTACGAGTTAGATGGACACCTTGCTATTTATGGTCTCTATTGTCGATCACCAGTGCGGTCTCTCTCCGAATTTGATGGTCATCCAGGCGTCGGCAGTTCTTGAAAGTTGCTATCGACACAGTGTGCTCTTGGGGGAAGTTCTGCTCACGTTTGACCACATGGGCCTTCTCCTAGTCGATTTTGGTTGTCCACTGCCCGAGAGTAGAGGTCCAAGTCAAAACTGAGCGTCCGCATGACGTCATGTAGTCTGTTGAAAGTCACGTCTGACTTGTAGGGGCTTCAAATACGGGTGTCTTTCGAGTCTGGGATATTTAATGTCAAGCACGTTGGAAGGGTTACACAGGTACAACTGTTCTTATGAAGATTCCTGTTTTAAGAGTCTTTCTAATATAAATAACGACTGTAATATTGAGTAGATATGCGAGCAGATAACAGAACTCAAACGCGATTTTGCGCTCTCCGTTCTCTATTTAGTTAGTCATTCAATTCGTTTTTGGACCTTTCAGCTTCTTTTGAAACGACGTAACTTAAGAAAAACCCGAAAATCCTCTAACCTGTTTAACTAATTATCAGCCTATCAAAACGTTAGGGCTGCCAACTCTAAGGGGCCTGTTAGCTAAATCGCCCTCTCGAACTTTTTGTTGAAAAAAAAGGGTTGAAGTAATTCGTTTGGGCTGTCTCAAGGTAATGGGTAACGTTCTTCGTATGCTTGTTTACCTCGAACTTCTCTTAAACGTCTTTGTACTCTTCTTCTCTCTGGAGTGATTCGCCTTCAATACTTCTGGAGGGACACATCATACAATGCCACAATAATTGAGAAATAATGTATGGACTATAGGTAAGAGAGCTGCTGCCCGGGAAAGGACGTCGACGTCCCCACAAACTTGAACTAAATAGGAAAAGAAGATGAAGAAAGCACGTGCAGACGAGGAGCGTTATCCAAAACTGACTTACCCGCCATTATGCATTTAAACAACGATTTCGTTCTTGTCAGGTCGTCCACCATAAATGTGCATACTTGATTCCGGTCTTGCTTTCTTCTCGTTAATTCGTGTTTGTTTATTTTTCTGTCCGAATTTCTTTGCGGGCAATCTAAATCCGGAAAATGTTAATAAAGCCGTTGTTTCCCCATTATTTTCGGCTCAGGTGTTTGACGAAATTGCGCATAGTTTGCGAGTCCAAGAGGACGGCCAGCTGGTGGCTTGCGGATCACATTCTGGTGACGTGGCGATTTTGGAACTCTCCGAGGGCTTCTACACAATGAACAAGACTGAAAAGAACAATATCGGGTTGATGTTTGACCGGGAGACACATCGCGAGAAGATTCTGGAGGCTCGACAACGAGAGTTGAAATTGAAGGAGAAAGCGAAAGCAGCAGCTGCAGCTGCTGATGGCGGCGAAGGCGTAAGTCCCCCAAAATGGGTACTTACTGCACATATTCCTTGGGCAGGGATTCATAGTGCGACCGCCTAGGGATAATAGGAGTTGCTCTAATAGTATTTTTGGTCTATAGGCTCCCTTTGTTAACCAGTAGGAGTTGCTCTTACAGTTTTCTTAGTCCTTCTTTGTTCTTTCCACAACATCTTTACGTACAACATCTTCAGTGAAACAATGACTAGCGGTTTTAATTAATTTTCTATTGTGCATTTATCACTCATTAAACATGCATTAACGGCTCATTAATCAAACATTAAACCTTTAACCGCGAATTTCGTCAGGCACTTGGGCTAGAAGACTTTTACCATTGGGCGGCCTACGATGCAACCCTACCCAAACGTTTTATTGCCGATGTTCTAGACAGTAGAATCTGAGCCAGTTAGCTGCCCGCAGTAATTGCCAGTTGGACGTTCTTCGAGGGCCAAAAAGGCTTCATTTGCGTCCTGTCATAAAAACGGAGGGAGTCATTTCTAGCAAAATTGTCCGTTTACAAAGATTATTAGTCAAACATGCATTACCGCCAAAGACGAGAGAGAGACTGGAACGGCCATTTCTCGCCTATTAGCCATCATCAGCCAGCCATTACCAACCCGACGGGTAGGAGCCCAGAGGTTCGAACCTGCGACCTTGTTAGACAGAACTCCAACGCTCTGAACACTGCACCACAGGCTTGGTGCCTTGCCGGTTTCGATCTACTATTGTGTATATTCCCGATATAAATCGGCAAAACAACGAGCCTGGGGCGCGATGGCTAGTGTGGTGGACTTCTAAATAACTGCTGGGAATGTGCCCATTCCCACGATTACTCTGTTAGCATAAGCCTAACAGAAAGATAGCCTGCGCAAGCGGCGCGCCCATTCCCATGACTATTCATCTCACAGAAAGGCCCGCGAGCTCATCTTACGCAGCTGTCATGAGAGCGCGACGTGACTATCGGTTTTCCTCCGCTCCTGATTGGCCCATTGTCGCACGATGTCTCTCGCGTTCCCTTTAAGGTACATGCACCCTGTGTCTGGCTTGACTTGCTCCGACTTTCTGTTACGTATTTGTCGCAGTAAACTCCCCCTCTCTCTGGCCAACCGGTCTTCTCTCTGTCTCACTCTTACGGGTTCCTTAGTTCGGCGTTCGACTTAGCTAGCAGTACCAGGCGCGGGTCATAACAAAAACAAAGTCGCGGATTCGAGCCTTGGGGGCGGCAGCACTTAAGGTTAGATATGACTGGCTGATGACGGCTAATAAACCAGAAATGGTCATTTCAATCTCCCCTATCCTTGTCGGTAATGCATGTCTGCCTACCATATGCTAGTCGTTGAGCTGCTGCTGTCGTGGCTCGGAGCGCGTGAGTTTCGTACCGATCGGTGAGTGTCCATCTACCACACGGATTATTCAGTAGGAGGACTACAAACGCTTGACACATTAAGTTGGCTTTTGAAGAGCGTGGCATTTTAAATGAACTTAGACAATACTGGTTACGAAATTCACGCGGGTGGTTTTTAGTTTGAAGAGTAGCTTTGAGATTTTCTGCTGTGGTCCTTATCCTTCGCGACTCTTATCTCATTCAGCCGGACTAATTTGTCGGGGCAGAACTCAAGGTCACACTGAACTGATAAGTTCGTCTGCGCAAGATGAAACGGTCTGAGGGCAATAAATAGGCTCCTCTGTGTCCTGGTCCCCAACTAGACCTCAGTCCCGCACTGGAAGCTAGATCTGTCAAGGAGAAGTAAGCAGTAGCGCATGAAGCAGGTCTTGCTGCCCAACAATTCTGGCAACTAGTCTATCAGGTAACTGACAGATTCCCCACACTGAGGAATTGTGTGGCCCCCATGTAAGGAACGGCTTTGTGCTGTGGACAGATCAGTCAAAAAAAGGGATCGGTGTTTACCGAAGCATCGTTCATGACTGTGTGACATTTCTGAAGGAAATTTTGGTTCTCAATCCTCAGAGGCTGGTAAATCAGGTGCATATCTCTTCCCACCGTGGGGAACGTCCAGCTCAGGGAAAGCTTGTCAGCAATGAAATTCAACCCCTCTTAACGCCACAAGAAGTGGCGGTTGTTCATCAGCCGAATTTTACCTTTACTCCCCGGCGATATATCTAACTGATCCCATTTCAAGCAGGTACATGACTATCTGGAGACAAGGCAACTTCAAGGAAGACTCCGGCTATAAACTGCCAAAAAGCGTCTAGATATATCAATTGGCAGTGCAGAGGCTGGACATGAAG